TTATCAATTTGGTTCGACAATTAATTAATTCGCGAAGGTCGGCGAACGATCGATAACATAAATATTTATAATACAAACAAATAACATTTATTAATAATAAACATTTAAACACATAATAACTATTAGCCAATTTAGACAGTTAATATAAATATTAATACTAATAATAATAACAATTAATTTAGACAATTAGGCAAAAAGAATAATTAATATGATGATGATAATAATAATAATAATAATAATAATAATAATAATAATAATAATAATAATAATAATAATAATAAATAATCTCCAATAATTCATAATTAAACGGGGTGTTACAGGCTTTGATCGCCTGTCTGGGCTCGTATTTGATAGTGTATTCGCTTAACTCGACAGCCCATTTAACAAGTAGACCTGACACTGTAGGTCGTCCCAATGTTTCTCCGAGTTAAAAGTTCGTCCTTACAACCACCATATGATTCAGAAAATACGGCCTCAACTTTCTCGCCGTTATTACCAGAGTTAGAGCAGCCTTCTCGACTTCAGAGTATCTCGTCTCAACTCCTTGGAGTACTCGACTGGTATAATATATCGACTGCTGAGACCTCCTTCTTCTCGTAATAATACTGAGCTCAATGAGACTAAACCCACAGATATGTACAACACCAACTCGTCATTGAGCTCAGGCTTTGTCAATAAGGGTAGCTCACTCAAGAATTCTTTCAACTTTTCAAATGCCATTTGCGCCTCGTCAGTCCATAGGAAAGTCTTGTTATTCTTTAGCAATTTTAAAAAAGGAAAGCTATTATCAGCCGCTCGAGCAATGAACCTGCTCAGACCTGCAATCCTTCCCGTCAGGACTTGTACTTCTCTTATGTTTCTGGTGGGGCCATGTCGAGTATGGCTTTCACCTTCTCCTTGTTTACCTCAATTCCCCTGTCTCTGATGACGTACCCCAGAAATCGTCCTGCCTTTACTACAAAGGCGCATTTGCTAGGGTTCAACTTCATCCCAAACGCTCTAAGTGTTTTGAATGTTTCCCTTAAATCGTTTGGGTGTGAAGTCGAAGATTTGCTTTTTACCAAGATGTCGTCAACGCACACTTCAATATTCCGCCCAATTTGAGGTTTGAACATACGATCCATTAATCGCTGGTAAGTAGCCCCTGCATTCTTGAGTCCAAAGGGCATGACGACATAACAACATGTCCCTTTGCTCGTCACGAAGCTCACCTTGCTCTAATCCTCGGGGGGTAAAAGAATTTGATGATATCCTTGGGATGCATCCATCATACTCATCAATTCACAGCCAGCCATGGAGTCGACTAGCTGGTCGATTCTTGGTAAAGAATAGTGATCTTTTGGGCACGCCAAGTTCAAATCGCGGATGTCGATGCACATGCGCTATTTATTTAGTGCTTTCCTCACCATTACTATGTTGGATATCCATACAGGGAATTTTATTTCTTTGATGTGTCTTGCTCGCAGCAACTTGTCCACCTCGACTTCAATGGCTTTGTCGATTTCTGTATCATGGTGTCTAAGACGCTGCTTCACTGTCTTCCTGAGGGTGTCGACATTGAGTTTGTGCTCCATGGTTTCAGGGTCCATTCCCATCAGTTTCTCTAGGATGAAAGCAAATATATCCCTGAACTCCTTCAGTAATGCAATAAGTTGATTTTGCAACTCGTCCTCCAAATCTTTTCCAACCTTAGTGGTCTGACCCTCCATCTCCCTAATCTGTATCTCCATCAATTCTCCGTATGGCTCGAGATTACTCCCACTCAGCCTCTTCTCGCTCGACAT